CACTGGAGACCCAGCATTCAAATGTATGAGCCTATGAAAGCCATTCCTATTTTTTTTAACCTTTATTTTATGTGCATTGGTGTTTTGCCTGCATGTATGTCTATGTGACAGTGTCAGATCTTAGAATTAGCAGGCGGTTGTGAGTTGGCATGTGTGTGTGCTGGGATTTGAACCCAGGTCCTCTGAAAGAGCAAATAATGCCCTTAACAGCTGAGCCATTTCTTCAGCCCAGGTCGCCATTCTTACTCAAACCCCAAAGAGTATTGCCCTTTAAGATTAAATGGGAAGAGACCTTAAGGTCAACCCTTCTTTGTTTGAGTTCCCTCCATACCACCCAGCAGCTTTTGGTTTCAGCAGCAATTAGCTAACTGAGATGGCCTGTTGTGCGGGTGGGGATTATACTGTCTTTGAGCCAGAGTCACAAGTGTGGTCCAAGTCAGGGAAAGGTTGAACACCAGCTTAGCCAAGCTGTGTGGCAAGTAAGAAGGTAGGTAGAAAAGCCTGCATGATAGAATGCTTTCTTGTGCTGGAATCAGGCTGCTGTGGCCTACAGCTAAGTGCTAAGGAAGCTACTGATAACTCATCTGATTTTCGTATCCCTGCCCAGGCCTCTCTCAGTCTACCAGGGAGCCTGTGGTTTTACATGTCTTGTTGATGTGGGAGTAGTTACCTCCTTAAAAGCTAAGATTCTAGAGAGAGAAACTGCTCGTTTTGTTAAAGCGGCAGAAGGCTGAGGACGCTGCTCCATGGTAGAGCACCTGCCTAGGCTGTCCAGATCCATGGAGATGGGGTGGCGTAGTGTCAGGGAAGACAGTGAAGAGCAGCTGGGTATGATTGTACCTGCCTGTAATCACAGTACTCAGGAGGCTTAGGCAGAAATCACTGGAGACCCACTTTAGTGTACATAGGAAGACCCTGTCTCAAAAATAAAAAATAAAAACTCAGAATGATTCTGGTATCTTTTCTGTGTGTACATGTGGACACATATGTTTGTGTGTATGGAGGCCAGAGGACAATTTTGGGTATCATTCTTTGGGTGTAATTTTTTTATTTTCTTTCATTTACTTGTTTTAATTTACTTATTATGAGACAAGTCTCCCTGGCCTGGAACGCACCTGTCTCTGCCAGCACTGGATTGCAAGCACGGACCGCGATGTGTGTGTCTTTGTGTCTGTGGATGTGAGGGCACATGCATGCGTGCACACCTGCAGTTGCCTGCCCTCAGAGCTCCCCGGGTCATCTAGGTTAGCTGGCCAGCGGGTCCCGGCCTGCTCCCCCTTGTCTCCACTGCTGCACCTTGCTTGTGACGTGGGTGCTGGGGATCCAAACCCGACTTCTAGTGTTCCACAGCAAGCACCTTATCAGTTGAACAGCTCTCTTGAAGCTGGGTATGGTGGCGCACGCCTTTGATCCCTGCACTCAGGGAGGCAGAGACTGGTAGATCACTGTGAGTTCCAGGACAGCCAAGGTCACACAGAGAAACCCTGTCTCGGGAGAAAAAAAAAAAAATTGATTGAGCCATCTCCCATCTTTTTCATGTAAGCTCTAGAACTCTAACTCAGGTCCTTATGCTTGCAAAGCAAGTATTTTACCAACTGAACTATCTTTTTTTAAAAAAAAAAAAAAAAAAAAAAGTGATGTTGTTTAACCTAGCATTAAACAATGAACATGGTTGCCATGCACACACACACTAATTAGGAGTCTTGGGCAGGCAGTTCAACTGACACTGAATGACCTGGCATTTTACTGTGCTCATGTTACTCCTGTTACTCGTGTCCTTCAATATAAGCCTTTGCTACTGAATTGTTTTACTCTCATTATTGCCTGTGAGTTCTCAGTTAACTTAGTTGCCAGGTGAGACTTGTACCCATAAAATCAGAAGGGCCTAGTCACTGTAGTTAGTGACTGAAATCTGAATGCACCTTTTCATTAGTTGCATTATTAACGTCTATGCAGGAAATAAAATACCCATGTGGTCCCCATTCATCTTTTAAGTTCCTAACATTTTACTGAAATTGCTCAATTGCTTTAAACCTTTATGTTGAGGAGCAAGAATGCTATTTTAAAATGTAAGCCTGTGAAAAGAGTTAAAGCTCCCAACTCTGACAATAGCATTCTTAAGACTTTTGCCTTATAGAATTTGAAGTGAAGAATTAAAGAAAGTGCCAATTATTTATAATATGGTACATACCCATAACCACCCTGAGTTTGGTCACGTTTAGCGCAGAACCTTTTGTCTGTATATAGAGAATTCACCAACATCCATTTTCAGGGCTAGTCCACAGTGTGCTGTTCAGTCTTCTATGTCTGGACATACTTCTGTGTCATGGACATTACTAAAAGGTCCATGAGAAAAGGAGGTGATGGAATGGATTTCTTAATATACCTACTTGAGCCATCTCCAGAAAGGGATTCTGTGTCTTTCTAAAGGTAAGGGGCTGCTGTTGGGAATGAAATGGTGACATGGTTAAATCATGTATTTATGGAATGAAGTAAACTAAGGCTCTTGGTCTGTTGCAAGGAGAGTGTCACGTGGCACTCTTACTTTGTCCTTGGAAAGTGGACAAAAGAGTGCTGGGGTCCAGTTGTGTAAAGTGGCCTTTCTGGAGCCTGTTTCTCCTCCTACAGTGTGGTAGAAGAGGAGACACGGCGATCCCAGCAGGCTGCTCGAGAGAAACAGAGTCCCAGCCAGGCCAATGGCTGCAGCGACCAGAGGCCCATCGACATCCTGGAGATGCTGAGCAGAGCCAAGGATGAGTATGAGAGGGTAAGTCTCTGGGCGCTGACCAGGGAACACTGACAGATGGGAGGAGGCCTGCTGGAGTCTTAGAGACTGGGAGCGTTACCCAGTACCAGTAGCAGTCATTACTTTAGAAAAGAACAAAGTCTGTGATTTCATCTGCTTTCCTAGAGTACTCGGTTAGAAAGAAAACTTAAAATGCTTTTTCTGTTCCCAGTCATTATAGAATTACTGTAAAAGAAATGGTCTTGGAGGGTGGAAGTTAGCGCTCAGTGGGAGTTTCAGAGAGAGCTTCACAACTCCTCTTTATCCCTGCCATCATGCTCACGTGCTGGATGGCCTTAAGAATTTATGTAGGCTGTAAAGAATAGTCTGGTAATTTGTTCACCGCAGTAGTAGATGGCACGTTTGTGTTCTATAATTGACCTTCTCATTTGGAGTTTTACTCAAATATGAAATTTTTACTCAAAAATTCAGTGTTTCTATCTCTTGTTTGTTTGGAGACATGGCTCTTTCCTTTTGTTTTTGTTTTCTTTTTCTTTCCTTTTTTTGGGGGGTTGTTTTGGAGGTGCTTTGTATCTTGATTATTTTTAGGGGTTTTTTTGAGACTGTGTCTCACTCACTGTGTGGTCCTGACTGGTCTGGAACTTCTTTGTAAACCAGGCTGCCCTTGAACTCACAGAAATCCACCTACCTTTGCCTTGGAGTGCTGAAATTAAAGGCATGTGCTACCATACCTGGGTATCTCTTCAGTTTTGCATTGTATAAGTTAACTGATAAATTTTTTCCTAAATGGTAATGAAAATGATAAGTGGTATATGAGTTAATTTTTCCAGCTTGTATTTACAAATTGCTCACTCTGCCAAACAGTAGATGTTAATTTGTTGTTTTCTTTGTTGCTGTGGTAATAGAGTACCCTGTTCACTCGCTCGCTTGCTTGCTTGCTGTTTGTAGACAGGGTCTCCTATAGGCCAGGATGGCCTTGAACTCCTGATTTCCCTGCCTCCTGAGCACTAGGATTGCAGACATTCACAACCATGCTAGCAAGCAATGGACACTTTTTGACAGTGTTTCAAACCTGGCTGCTGGAGAAATGTCGTAGCATTTCCCATACTCACTGGAGAAAGACTCGGGCTTCTCCTGGACTTTGTCTCCACAGAGTTATAGCTGCTACCTTACCTTCCACTGTTGAGTCAGGGGGCTTTATATTTCATTTTCTCTTTGCAAGTCTTCAAGAAACAAAGTGCAAAAAAGGGACTGTCTAAAATCATGACTCTGAGCTGGCTGTGATTACAGGCTTCTACTTATAACCTCAACATAGGAGACTAGGGCAGGATTGCTGGGACTTTGAGGGCTACAGAGTGGGACCCTGTTTCAGAAAAATAAAAATAAACACCAGCAAAATGCTTTAGTGGGTAAAAATACCTTGCCACACAAGTCTGACAACCTGAGTTCAGTCTCTGGTACTCACAGTGGAAGGACTGGACAGATTCCGAAAGTTGTTCTCTGACTTCAGCACACCCTACCATGGCATATATGAACCCACACATCATGTACACGCCTACACAAGCATAACAAATAAAATAGTAAACATTTAAAGAAATTATATTTCTTCTAGGAAGGTGGTTCATGCCTGTAACCTCAGCACCTTAGAAGAGCAGTAGGAGACATGCAGGAAGACTCACATGAGACACTGCCTCTCCCTAACCCCCAGCCATGCCAAAAAAGGAAAAAAAGGTTAGGAGTATTTTTTGAACAGTTAATACTAGTTTATAGGTAGGCTATTAATAGTCTCTGAAAAGGTATTCAGATTGGTCAAAAGTATTTAAATATGCTAAATATTGTTAGCATATCTGCTTTTCTCCCTTTCCCTGCCCTCCTCCTCTCTCCTCCCGCAGACCTGGGCCATCATGGGATACAGACACGGTGGTCTCACAGTTGCGTCAGGTTCGCCATAGCAGCATTTTTCACATACTGCCTTTTAATATCTCAAGAATTCAGGGAACAGAGTTTGAGAAAAGTATTCTGGAAGGTAAAAGTTTTCTCTTAAAAAAGCATTCTTGCCAGCCTGTGCTAGCGCACACACCTGTGATCCCAGCACTCTGGAGGCAGAAACAGACGGATCTTTGTGAGTTTGAGGCCAGCCTATTCTACAGATCAAGTGCAGGACAGTTAAGGCTACACAGAGAAGCCCTCTCTCCCAAAAAAAAAAAAAAGCATTTTCACCTTACAGTGCAGAAATATAGTTTAGGGCCTATGAAAGGTTTCAAGTTGTACCAAATTCCTCAGTGTCTCATCGATAAATAGGAACAGTTGCTGTATCTGTAGAAATTAGATATTGGTGGCTGGTGAGAGACCTCAGCAATTACCACTTTCAGAGGGTCCATACGCTGATTTACACTGTTAGTCACTCTAGCTCCAGGGACTGTAGCGCCCTCTTCTAGCCTCCGTGGCTCCAGGAATGCACACTGTGTCAAGCATCCATGCAGCCAAATACTCATACACGTGTAAACAAGTCTTTGGGTGGGTAAGGAACTTAGGGGCTGGAGAGATGACTCAGCAGTCAAGAACCCTTGTTGCTCTCGCAGAGGACCCAGGTTCTGTTCCCAGCTCCCCATGGTAGCACACCACCGTCCGTAATCCCAGCGCCAGAGTGTCTGATGACCTTCTGACCTCCATGGCCATCAGTTTCCCATATGGTGCACACCCATACATTCAGGCAAAATGCTCACATAAAATAAATAAATCTGAGCCAGGCACGGTGGGGCACGCCTATAATCCCAGCACTCAGGGAGGCAGAGGCAGGCAGATCTCTGAGTTCAAGGCCAGCCTGGCCTACAAAGCCAATTGAGGACAGCCAAGGCTACATAGAGAAACCCTGTCTGGAAAAACCAATCAATCAATCAATACATCAATCAATCTAAAAAATGTGTTTTTAATAAATTAAATGTTAGAAAAGGAGCCATCTATAGTAAATCATGATTCTTAAAAATCAAATAAAAATAAAAGTTGAGGGGTTTTATTTATTTTGTTGTGGTTTGGTTCGGTCTAAAGGCTAATTTAGTTTTCATAGATCCTGTCTCATAATACCCGGTGCTATTTCTCCTTGCCTTTCTGTTTACATGGGCACTGATGGTAACTGCCCTGTGTGGTGATTGGATCAAAGCACCCATGAGACAAGAAATTAGATCCTGCTCAGTGGGACAGATGCTGCCAGGAGTGGGCTTGGCTTCTCTGGCTGAGAAGCAAAAACCATAAAAAGAAAGCTTTTTTCTTTTAAGGCTTTTTATGGTGTAAGCCTGCTCCATTCAACCCCTAGACACTGGAAACTCTAGTGTCAAGTCAACAGTCTAACAATCTGATAAGGTTTCTGTTTTCAATTGCTGCAAAAGCAAATCCTACAGAGAACATCTTCTATTGTAAAGAACATTTTGAAATGTATAAGATGTTGTCCAAGGTTAGATTCAAATGAAATGTTTAAGATTTGTTAAATCTTTAACGTTTTGTTTATAGAGTTTTCTTTTTTAAAAAAAATTACAAATAAGCAGAGCTTCCTTAAGTAAAAGTTGTTTTTGCCTTGTTTGCCTATTTTATTGCATGGATCTGGTATTAGAAGTGACTCTGGACCTACATCGTGGTGTTTGGAGAGCTCTCCCCAGCAGCACATAGGCGGCAGATGGTCCCTCTTTCTTTTTGGTAGACTTGTGAGATTGGCAGCCAAGGGAAGGGAGGATAAGCAAGGCCTCTGAGTTAGTAGGATTTAATTCCAATTCTAAATCTTCCCTATTCACTTTATATAAGACAGTCATCTTTTTTTTTTTTTTTCTTTCTTTCTTTCTTTTTTGTAGCATCTCACCCTGTAATCCAGGCTGGCCTCAAACAAATGATCCTCCTGGCTCAGCCTCCTGACTACTGAAATACAGGTGTACACTACCACACCCAGCACAAATCCAGCATTTTGCCATAGTATTTATAAGAGACTGTTTGAAGCTTGACACTCTGTAAGCATTTTCTCTGTAATCCCTATAGTTTATTTTTATCAGCTTGATAGCTGAAAACGCAGACCTTTACAGCTAGTCCAGTTTGCATTGTTTTTAGTCACTGGACATAATCCTGAATTTTGAACAGTATTTTTAATTTTTCCTCAAAATGTAGTACCATTCTTGTTCCTAGGCAAACAATGCATAATGCTATAGAAAATTTTATGCTCAACAATTAGTAAACAAAAGGAAGGGATTCTGCAGTAATTCTGCCAGCTAAAAATAATCATTGATAATACCTCATTATGTGTTCTTCCAAAAATCTGTCTGTATATGGACTGTTTGTGTATGTTAGTTTTACTAGCTGTTTCTTTATGATGTGTTCTTTTCTACAGTTCTACACTTACATTGGCAATAGCTATTCATCTGACGTGAAGTCCCTGTGGGATTTTATTAAATAAAATAAAACTTTTTTTTTTTTTTTAAGACAGGGTTTAACTATGGTAGTTGTGGATGGCTTGGAATTTACTTTGTAGACCAGGCTGGCCTCGAACTTAGAGAACTCTGCCTGCCTCTGCCTCCTGAGTGCCGTAATTAAAGGTGTACACCACCATGCCTAGCTGGAACTTTACATAATTAATACCTAGATTTCTCCTAGTTCTTTTTCATAGACCTTCACAGTGCAGTCTTGGAGCTAAGGTGTCATACATCTCTTGATTGTTTTCCTAAGATTAACTACTTCAAATTACTTAGACTAGCCTCCAGACTTATTATGTAGCTAAGGATGACCTTGAATTTATACTTCTCCAAGTGCTGTAATTACAGATATATGCTACCATACCCAGTTTATGAAATAATGACTGAGCCTCCTTAAATTACCAAATATTATACAAATTACCCTCCAACAAAGTTATATGTGATTGTATGCATCTCCTAAGTCTTATGGCTAACTGCCATCATTAACACAGAGAAGATAAACCTTCAACAAAGGCCCCATATAAGTAACAAAGCTCCCTGAAATACTTCAGAATAGATAGTAAGGCGCCCAGAGCCACAAAGCCTATCTCACGAGTTCTTTACAGATGGTAAAGTCCAATAACTCAAGAGCCATGTGGGTCATAGTAGAACTGAAGCCTACTCATCCCTTGTTCCCCAAGTGAAAGGGTTATTGGAGCACAGTCTCAGCCAGGGATCGCCAGGTGACCTGCTGAATCCACATCACCTAGCCTCTCTGGAAAATGATAGATCTGCATTTTTTCCTTAAGGAAACTCCCAATTTTGAATATTGCTGAGCATTATACCTCCTGCTTTAAGATACACTTAGGAACAATAGTATGTTTCTCTAATATTCAGTGCCTTTCTTTCCCTATAGTAGGGTCCATAGTGATGGATGATGACCCTGTTCAAAGAGCAGTGTGTTAGATTAAGGTGTGGTGAAGCCCTTCACAGACTGTTTCACCCTAATTCACATGGTGACACTGGGTAAATGTGTTCTGATGCTAGGCATAGTGGCACATGCCTATATTACCAACTCTTGAGAGGTGGAGATAGGAAGACCAGGCATTCCAGCCCAGCTTTAGTTACATAGTGCATTTCAGGCCAGTTTGAAAGGACCCTGTCTTTTAAAACAAACAAAACAAAAAGATGTTCTGAAATAATACGAGAATTATCATTTGAATAGGAAAAGTGCAGCATTTTATCGATTTGTGTAATATCTGGAGTTCCTGTTCCTATGTTGAGCATGTTTCTGAACAGTATAATATCAAGAAAATTACTTTTTTGTTGAAATTGTTCTGTCTCTGCAATGAAGTTTGAATGTGTTTGTTTTGTTGTTCATTTTTGTTGTTGTCTTGACATAGAGTACTTCAGAAAGCTGGAACAGATATTTCAAATGTAACTTAGGTTTCCAAAATGTCATAATTGCACATATATCCAGTGATCATGTAAGGATTCTTGTGTTTGTTCCCATTGGTTGTTTATTTTGAAGTTCTGGTGTTTGAACCCACGATCTTGGGCATAGTAGGCAAGCTCCACCAGTGAGCCACAAACCCAAGCAAGGATTCTTTGTTTTGTTTTGTTTTCTCAAGACAGGGTTTCTCTGTGTAGCCTTGGCTGTCCTGGACTTGGTTTGTAGACCAGGCTGGCCTCAAACTCACAAAGATCTGCCTGCCCCTGCCTCCCCAAGTGCTGGAATTACAGGAGTGCACCACACCCAGCTAGGATTCTTTTTATTAACAAAACTCTTTTCACCTGCAGGTTTGAATTTAAATGGTATTGAAATGATTGGATATCCATATGCATATATATACACACAAAATGAACCTTAATCAAACTGTAGTATCTTATGCAAATTCAGCTCAAACTGGCCCATAAATCTAAATGTAAACATCAGATTATTTAACTGAGTACTGGAGAGATGACTCAGTCAGTAAATGCTTACTATGCAAACATAAGGATCTGAGCTTGACTCCCAGCACCCATATTGGGGGGCTGAGGACAGGGCTGTGGAGACAGTAACTAAAGGATCTCTGGGATTTGATGGCCATCCAGTATAGCAGAACCATGAGCTGCAGGTTTAGTGAGATACCATGCCTCAAGGAGTGACTGAAGACATCCTGCATCAATCTCTGGCCTCCTCATGCACATATTTGCACACAAAACCAACATCTACATGTACAAAAAAATAAATAAATAAATAAATCCCAGGACTGAGTCAGGTGTGGCTCTCACTCCTGTAGTCTTAGGACTTGGAAGGCTGAGGCAAGATCATACATGGCAAGATTGTTCCAAAAAAATTAAAAAGTTTTTTAAAAGAAAAATATACCATTGTACCCTGATTTATCTTTGCTAGGTATCTGCTCTAGTGAAATGAAACTTTTGATTCTACACAAAGTTATTGAAGCTGTTCATAATCAGAAACTGGAAATAGGGGCTGAGGAGATGGCTCAGTTTATTAAAAAAAAAAAAGCTTGCTGTACCAGTGTTGAGGACCAGAGTTTGATTCCCATCACCCATGTAAAAAGCATGGCTGGAAAAAGGGATGGAGAGGGGGGAACAAAGGATTAAGGTTTTGCTGGCCAGCCTGTTAAGCTGAAGCAGTGAGCCCAGGTTCATTGTGAGACCCTGTCTACATATAGACAGAGAAGGGGTTTTACTCATTTGTGTATTTTTATGTTGTGTGCATTGGTGTTTGTATGTATGTCTATGTGAGGGTATACAATCCCCTGGAAGAGGAGTTACAGGCAGCTGTGAGCTGCCATGTGGGTGCTGGGAATTGAACTTGAGTCCTCTGGAAAACCAGTCAGTGCTCTTAACTGCTGAGCCATCTTTCCAGCTTCCAGATAAGGTTGGGTTTTGTTTGTTTGTTTGTTTGTTTGTTTGTTTGTTTGTTTTAAGAATGAAAAGAGATGTCTCAGTAGTTAAGAACCCCCACTGCTCTTACAGAAGACTCTAGTTCAGTTCCTAGTACCCACAGCTCACAATATCTGTAGCTCCATCTCCAGAAGATTCAGTACTCTATTCTGACCTCCTCACATACCAGGCACACACATAATGCACATACATACGTGCAGGCAAAACACTCATACACATAAAATAAAAACTTTTTAGTAAAAAATAATACAAATGTTATATACTCAGCAATAAAAAATAAATTAATTATTGATACTATAAATTAGTTTGCACAAATCTTCAAGGCTTTATACCAAGTGACAGAAGCCATTGCCATGGTTACCATTCTACTTAGAATTTTTGAACATACAAAAACTAAGGGCGAGAACAAACCACTGTTTTCTTTCATAGGTCAGAGGTCATGACCTTAGTGGGCCGTGACAAAGGAGCACTTTTGCATTGGTGGCAATGCTTTGCATCCTAGCTGTAGAGGCGGGCATACAGGGAGATCTGTGTCTCCCCACAGTGGAAGGCATCCTGTGTAACTTAAATCTATGGTAAAATCCGGTAGAATAATGCTATCTTTTCCTTAAAATGAGTGATTAAAGCCGTAACAAGTGGAGCTACCGTGTAACTTCAATGTGAACCAGATTTTAGACAGCCATCCTTCTTCAGATGATAGACTTTTTCTTTTAATTCTTTTCCAAGAATCAGATGGGCGGCTCAAATATCTCCAGCCCTGGGTTACAGCCAAGCACTCAGCTCTCCAATCTGGGAAGCACCGAGACTCTAGAAGAGACACCCTCTGGGTTACAAGATAAGGTTCGTACAGTTAAAGCCCTAGCTTTGTCAGAATAACAAAACAGTGACATTTCCTAAGGATTTGAACCACTGTGCAAGTTTGCTTCCTCACTTGTCTGTCAGATCACATGTGTGACATCATGACATATGTATCCAGCTCATTTCCCAGGCCCGTGACATTCTTATCTGGACTATGCAGCAGCTTCCTTTCTGCTCCTCTAGCTTTGGCTCTTGACACTGCCTTCTCTGTGCTCAGCCAGGCCAGCAAAATGATCCTGGCACAGCCTAACTTTCATTCCTCCACTTTTACAACCCTCCAGTGGTGACCTGTCTCACTCCCTCTGGCCCACAGGACTGTACCCTGACCCTGGCCCCTCCCTCTCCCTGCCCCAGCAGCTCCTGCTGTCTGCCTTGCTCACTGCACTCCCGTCATTGCAGGACTTTGGCCTGGAGCTTCGCCTTGGTCTGCAGTACTTTTCTCCCAGGACTGTGTCTGCTTCCTTCTTCTGGTCTCTCAGGTCCTCTCTTTATTAGGGCCTTCTCTAACCTCTCTGCCTTCTTGCCTCCTGCTTGCTTTATTTTCTCACTGACTTTAATTAGTTACTAGAGTTTGGTTTGTTTGTTTATTCACTGTCTCATGCTAATGGGACCTGTAGTTTGTTTGCTTATTTGTCAGGGTCTTACTGTGTAGCCCTTGTTCTATAGATCAGGCTGGTCCCTACTTTTTAAATGCTGGGATGAAAGGGGTACACTACCACACCCACCCAGGACCAGCAGTTTTCTCTCCCTGTTCAATGTAAATATTTATTAAATTGATTCATTCTCTTTATAATTGGTGTTCTGATAAAACAACAGATATTAAGACATTAAACTTTTTCTATTATATATATTTTTTTAAAAGAATTCTTTTCTTTTTAAGATTTTATTTATTTATTTAATGCATATTAGGGCTCTAAGAAGGCAGTAGAGGATGTAGATGGTTGTGAGCCACCATGTGGTTGCTGGAATTAAACTCGGGACCTCTGGAAGAGCAGACAGTGCTCTTAACCACTGAGCTATTTCTCTAGCCCTATTATTTATTTATATAGAGTGATAAGTGGTATAGAAAGAGCCAGATGTGGTAGTGCACACCTGCAATCCCATCACTTCAGAGACTGAGACAGGAGAGTCATGAGTTTGAAACCAACCTGCTATATTACATAACTTTCTCCAGGCCACCTTGGCTAACAAAAGCAGATTCTAACCCAATAATAATGGTAATATACGTATACACATGATACGGAAAGATTCTATGTCCTCATCCCCTATTTTGTATTGATAACATCTTGTAAAGTGTGTTATGCTATTATATCAAGGATGTTGACACAAGCCACATGCCATCATGCTTATAGTTTCTCAGTTTCACTTGTACTCATTTGTATGTGTATGTGTGTCCTCGATTAGTAGCTTTACATGCTCAAATAGATGCTGTCTCAGTCCACACGAGGATCCTTTGTGTCTCCCTTTTCTAACCACACCAACTTCCCAGTCATGCCCTTTTTCCTACCGTCTTTTCCTTTTTTTTTTTTTTTTTTTTTTCTTGTTTGTATTTTGGCTTTTTGAAACAAGGTCTCTCTATATAATCCTGGCTGTCCTGAAACTCGATGTGTATGCCAAGTGGCCCCAAATTCACAGAAATCTGCCTCCTAAGTTCTTAAAGACATGTGCCACCATGCCCAGCTCTACCCCTTACCATTTGACCCCTGCCAACCACTGATCTCTCTTTGCAAATCAAGAATGTGAATGTTAAGCAAATGGAATGAAAGCGTGTGGTCTTCTGAGTCTTTCATTTAGCATAATTGCTGTGTGTGTCAAGCTTGCTTCCTTCCCTCACGCTGAGAGGTTTTGAACCCATGCATGCTGGACAAGTGCTCTACCACAGATCAACATCCCAGTTTGTGGGTGGTAGAGCAGTTCCCGTTGAGTGCCCCATACCTGAAATACTGGAGACGGGAAGCGTCTTAAATTTGAGGGTGTCCGCAAGGCTGTGGTGATGCACAGCTTCAATCCCCACACTTAGAAGACAGACGAAGGCAGATTTCTGTAAATTCAAGGCCAGCCTGGTCTAAGTCAGGGCTGTCTTGAAAAAAGTATTTTTTTGAGGGCTTCCTCAGGCTTTAGAATATTTGCAATATTGTGTGGGTGTGTGTATAGTGAGAAATCTTGGAGTAGGACCTAAATCTAAACCAGAAATTCATGTGTGTTTCATATAGATGTGGTCTGATGGTAAAAATTACAAAATAGTTTTCAGTTTAACTAGGGACTTCTCACATGAAGTACATTTTCCATCTGTGGCTTCACATTGGGATTTAAAAGATTTTTGGTTTGGAGCATTTTAGATTGTGGGTTTTTAGATTAGGAACTCTCAACCTATATAACTTAGTCTAACCATTTTGCAACATTTCCCTATTAAAGGACGTTTGGGTTATAAGCAGATTTTTGGCTATTATGAATTAAGGAGCTGTGCATGCTCCTGCGTTTGTCTTTATTAGCTTGTGTTATACACATTAACAAGATTGTTATGTTACAATTATGTGTATAATGTATACCAATAAGTCTACCTTTCCTCTCCAGCTTTGTCTTTCACTTGTTTTGAGGCAGTGTCTCATATAGCCCAGGCTGGCCTCAGACTTGCTCTGTAACCTAGGACCATCCTGTCTCTGCCACCCAGGACCTGGGATTCCAGGCATGCCCCGCCATGCCCAGCTCTACCTGTTTGTCTGCTTTAGAGGAGTGTGGGACATGTGCACATGTGCATGGAGGTACATGTATGTACATGGGGAGGGCACAGCCCACCTCAGCGGCCATTTCTAACACTCCATCTACCTCTTTCTTTTACGTTATTCCATCTCGTTTATAAGCAGTTTCTTGTTAGCCCACGGCTTGCCACAGCTAGCTAGGCTGGCCGCTAAGTCCCCAGTATTCCCCTGTTTCCACCTGCTCAGCACTGGGATCATAAGTGTGCAAAGCTGAGTAGAAAATTCACAAGTTTGAAGGCTGTGTAGGCTGCATAGCAAGACGCCTCAAAACACAAAATAAAATAAATTGCATCTTTTTCTCAGCTAAAACCAAGGCATTATAAAGCATTGAGATTTGGCTGTTACCAAAGCTGTGTGATTGTCTAAAACAATTACAAATCCCTACACAGAGGGATTAAAAGTCCCTTACACAGAAACGCTCTAACACTTATTTAGTAACACTGCCATCTAGTGCTGAGTCACAAAAATACATTTCACTTTCATAATTCACTTTATTCTCTTGGTACTCTTCCCCCAGTACTAGGTTATACTTGGGCTAAGACTTTGTCTTTTGCAACAGGTACATCCAAAGGTTGGCGTGTATGTGTAACTGTGTGACCGTTACGATCCACACTAACTTGCCTTAATGTAGGTTTTGTTTAAGTTGGGCTGGATTGGATTGGCTTCTAGGGGACAGTCTCGTCCAGCCAGGAACTCAGTAGGCAGCTGAGGCTGACTTTGAACTTCAGATTCTCTACCACCATCTAAGTCCTAATGTTACACTGGTGCTCTGCTCCTAGCTAGGTGAGTGGGTTTTAGGGTTGAGAGAGAAAGGGAAGTTGGTTGGTTGTCTAGTTTAGAACATACTTTGTTGCCTGGGCTTACCTTAAATTCAGACTGGTCCTCCTGCCTCAGCCTCCCCATCCTGGGATTATAAAGATAAGCTACAACATTTAAGGTCTACTCCCTTTTTTGACACAGAATCTTGATCCATTTTGTTTTATTGTAAAGAATTTTTTTTTTTAATTGGGCATTCAGTGATCAGGGAGCTGGAAGCAGGATTGCTGAAAGCCCAGGACCCAAAGTCTGAGATATATGTAACTTGTAACTTGGTAGTAGAACTGTGAAACAATTATCACGATTATTTTTGCTATTATTTTGGATGGGGGGTTGTTTGTTTGTTTTCTTTTTGGTTTTTCAAGACATGGCTTCTCTGTGTAGCCTTGGCTGTCCTGGACTTGCTTTGTAGACCAGGATGGCTTAGAACTCACAGCGATCCGCCTGCCTCTGCAAATGCTGAGGTTACATGAATGTACCACCGTGCCCAGGTTATTGTGTAATTTTTTAATGTTTACAGTTACATAAATTTTCCAGTTAATAATTAAGAAATGAACCTTAGTGGGTTTTTTGTTATTGTTGTTGTGGGGTTTTTGTTTGTTTGTTTTTTAGGTACTGGGCTCTGCAGAATTAAAAATATGAAGAAATAGAACCATGTGAATTTATTATAAAGAGATTTTGACGTAACCTCATTATATAGGAGGATCTCTCTGGGTTTGGGGGCCAGCGTGGTCTATATAGTTTCAGAACAGCCAGAACAGTGTAGAGAGAGAGAGACCCTATCTCAAAGTAAAAAAAAAACAACAACTCTAGATTCAGAATATCAGAATCACACTTTAAATATAAGGCCACAGTGAAACGAGGAATAAAAACTTTCTTTATGCAGTTGACTGTGCTAGATAAGAGTTCTACCACTGAGCTGCTTTCTCAACTCCAGTCTTTAGTGTAACTGTCTTCCTGTTTCCTTCAGGATTCTGTAATTTGAGGGTGTGAAAAGGCCTGGTAATGAGTGGTTAAAATTGCTTTTTTTTTTTAGGTTCCCGCAGTACAATGCTAACTTTTTATCAAAAACAGTAAAAGTGAGTTACTTAGAATTGGTGCCTCTCACTGGCATCATTTCCCAATATGTTACTAACATGGGCACTTAGCCATGGGTAGCTGTGTTGTGCTGTAGCCCCTTAACCTTAGCCACGTTCACCAAGAAAAACAAAGGAAACGCTAAAACTGTCACTTGGGAAGCAATACAGAATTTTGTTACTGAGCAGATTTCCTTCCTAGAAAGAACTAGAGGGACTTTGATAGAAGCTGGTCTGAGCCCCTGCTGCATCTTCGGTAGCTCCAAGCTTTGTTTTCATCCTCTGTCCTTGCTTCTGCATATTGCTGTGTAATGGAAAACAATTTTGGTTGCGGTGGTTTCCGGAGACTTCTTTGATGGTGTCATTTGATTTTGTTTTTCAGTCTGCTCCATCTGGTCACAAGCACCTGACAGTAGAAGAGTTGTTTGGAACCTCTTTGCCAAAGGAACAGCCAACAGTTATGGCTGTGGAGTCAGAAGATGTAGAGAAGCTGTCGGGAGATGCATTGCAAAAAGAGCCCAGCTCGTTCCGCCCATTTCCCTTTGAGCAGTCAGGGGGAGCTCCTCAGTCTGGAAGCCTGGGTGTCCACTCCACCGCTCACCATGCAGTCCAGTCTGAAGTGCCCACCCCGGTGCTAATTACTCCTGCCTCCATTGCACAGTCGGGTGAAAAGCCTGCCCCGAGCTACACAGTCCCCCTGACCCCCGTCCTCAGTCCCACCCTGCCCGCCGAAGCTCCTCCCACACAAGTCCCCCACTCACCTCGAAATAGCACCATGATGCAAGCAGTAAAGACCACACCTAGACAGAAATCTCCACTCCTGAACCAGCCAGTCCCTGAGCTAAGCCACAGCAGTCTGATTGCTAGCCAGAGCCCCTTCAGAGCCCCAGTGAGCCTGGGGAACCCAGCTGGCACAGCCCTCCCAAGCATTGATCTGCTCCAGAAACTCAGGTTGACCACACAGCATGACCAAATACAGGCACAGCCGCTTGGAAAAGGTGCAGTGGCACCCAACTTCTCTTCGGCAGCTGGCCAACTGGCCACTCCTGAGAGCTTCATAGAGCCTCCCTCTAAGACAACAGCAGTAAGAGCAGCAGTCTCAGCCTCCCTGAGCAACATGGTGCTTGCTCCAACCCTCCAGGTAATGACAGGAGCAGGGGGGTGTGGAAGAATGAAACATAAAAGTGATACGAGACAGTTTTGTGTGTATGTCTTATTTGTGTACCAGCCGTGCCCTGCCAAAGGAGTAGTGCATGTATGTATCTGTCTGTCTCCATGATCTGTTAAATTTGCTGTCTGTCTGGTCTGTAACTGAATTTGTGGGGTGGGGAAGGAGTTTTGCTATGGAAGCAAACTTAGAGGAGTTAGCATTGGAAGATGAATAAGGGAGTTTGAGTTATGTTCTTAGACTTTGGGAAGCATTGAGAAGTTCTGAATGAGGGTTGGGGATTTAGCTCAGTAGTAGACCACCTGCCTCGCAAGCACAAGGTCCTGGGTTCGGTCTTCAGCTCTGAGGGGGGAAAAGAAAAGAAAAGAAAGGTTCTGAAGAATGAGTGACTTGTTGAAACTGGCAGAAACAGGAGTCAGGCCATCCATTACAGAGCAAGCTTCCATCACTCGGCCTGAGCAATAGGGGCCTGCATTGGGCAGTGTGGACAAGTAGATTTTTTCAGATCTGTAGTTGGTGAGGCTTTGTGGTAGATTGGTATAGAGGGGAAAGGAAAATTTTGTCCATCAAAGTAATTCCTAAATAGCAGATTTACAGATGAGAAAATGAGCTGAGTTGACAGGAGTAATGCCTGGCCACAGCTGGAGTCGAGCTGCTTGTGACTGCTAACTGCCTTTCAGCATTTGGGTCTGACAGCCTAAAAGGAGGGACAGTTCTGCCAGTGAGCAGGTTCTGCCCTGTGTGTTGGTGTCACGGGCCTGAAATGCTCCTGCTACTTTTCTCTTGCTGTGGTAAAATACAAAAAGAAACATTTGGAAGAAAGTTGCTTTGGGTTTCTGGTTGCAGAGGGAATGGGTCTTTCCCACCAGTTTATTTGGAAGCTGGGGCAGGGGTCTGCACCTGCTTCCCCACGCTCCTCCCTAGAAGACAGCACGGCGCTCTTCGCTGCTGCCCGGCAGAGACCACTTAGGTCTGTGCAATGCTAACTTTAAGGGCTTACTCTCTCCTGATACAGTGGCACATGCCAGTAGTCTCAGTAGGCCGTCTGTGATTTCAGGGCCAGCCTGGTCTACATAGCAAGCTCTAGGCCAGCCAGGGGTGTCCTGTCTCAAAACGAAAGACCGTGGTCTGTATCGAGTTTCCTTGTGTTTGCTGTGCAGTATTAATTCTTCCCAAAGGCTGTGACAGGGCACACCTATAATACTATAGCTAAGAAAGTGAGGCAGAAGAGCCTCAGGATAGAGACCAGCCTGAACTACCTTTGTCTCAAGACAACAAGAGGAAGTTCTTTCTCTTTCTCTACCGAGTAAGGACAAAGCTGAGTGTTTAAAGTGCCACTAACCAGATTGGAAGAACCTTTGAAGAAATTGGAGCTGGGGGTGTAGTTAAGAGTAGAGCCACTTGCCTGTCATGTGTGAGGTCCTAAGTTCACCTTTCAGCACTGCAGGAAAAAAGTGTTTTAGTCGTTTGTTCTCTACACACTCAGCAACAAACATAGGCCGGGGCTATGGTCCATGCCAGGCATGATCGCACAGACCTCTAGCCCCACTGACTTGGTGCCACAAATGTTAATCCCAGCACTTGGCAAATATCTGTGAGGTCCAGGCCAGCCAGGACCACACAGTGGAACCCAGTCTCAAAAGGACAGATGTGCAATCCCAGCTGCTTGAGAGGCTGAGGCAGGAAGCTTGCAAGTTTAAGGCCAACCTCAGCCTCTAGACAGGCACAGATTCCAGGGCTGATGATGTGTCTCACTTAGTAGAATTTGCCCCTTCTGCACAATCCCTGACTTTGGTTCCTGTCACACTTAGAGTCACCTGAAAGGTTCTTCCCACACACCTTTGGGGGACAGGACAATGTGGAGACTCCACAGGAGCTGTTGTCCAAAGCTCTCATTGTGGAAATGAGTTGTTGGTTGTATTGCCAACAAGTCCCTCTCAGCCTCTAAACCATGACTTGTGGATAACATAGATCTGCCACCAGTAACTAACGGAAGCTTGCTATATCTTTTCTCCCCATTAAACATTTCAGTCTATGCAGCAAAGCCAGGATCCTGAAGTATTTGCCCAGCCTAAGGTGTTACCCAGTGCCATCCCGGTAAGGATGTCCCCACCCCCACCTTCCCGCCCCAAGTGTGTGTGTACACGTGTGTACCCATGGGAAGGGCCAGAGCAGACATTAGGTGTCTTCCTTAGTTGTTCTCCACATTATAAATTGAGTCAGGTCTCGGGTTGAGCCTACCCAACTTTCTGTCTCCACCTCCTATGCCCTGGGATTGTATGTATGTGAGCCACCACACCCATCCAGATGTTTTTTACATGTTCCTGGGGATCCAAACTTAGGTCTCACACTAACCTAAGGCAGACATAGCAAGCACATACCCCACTTAGCCATTTTCCCAGCCCTGGGACATCATCTTTTTCTGAAGAGCACATTGAATAGTTTCAGGTTCTGCTGGTATGGCATGGGCTCTTACCTTAGTGAAAAACTCTAGCACTCAAGTGCAGACCTGTCCCAGGTCCCCTCCGTGCTGTGGCTTACAGACCTTGTTAACAATGTCTTCTTGACTGTGTAGAGGGCAGGTGGACCGTCATGTATCATTTATGACTGGGTGGGTGCTGGGCATATATCAACCTGGTCTCTGTAAGAGATATTTCTTGACCTGGGAAAGCAAAGGGTCCCAGGAGACAACACTGTCCTGCCACAGTCCCTCACTTCTGATGACAAAGCCTCCTCAGCCTGTGAACTTCACTCCTTTCTTACACACTCATATTTACACATATCCACCATTTCCCTTCACACACCAACCTTGGTGGACACAGTTCTCCCATGGCACTTGCTCACCTGCTTATGAGCCTGCACCCCTGCTAGGCGCTGGGCCTCTGACCTGTAATCCCAGAACTCGGGGAAGCAGAGGCAGCCAGACCTCCATGAGTTTGAGGCCAGCCTGGTCTGCAAAGGGAGTCTGGGACAGCCAAGGCTACATAGAGAAACCCTGGCTTGGAAAACAAACAAACAAAAAAATGAGCCTGTACCCCTCTCCTGGATTTTCAGAAGTTAACCTTCTGTCAGCTTTAGGTTAGCTTGTTCTGTTGTGGTAATCAGCCCAGTTTTATACCAAAAAAGCAAGCTAAAAAAGCTGGAGAGTTGGGGCTGGAGAGATGGCTCAGAGGTTAAAGGCACTGGCTGCTCTTCCAGAGGTCCTGAATTCAATTCCCAGCAGCCACATGGTGGCTCACAACCATCTACAATATGAGATCTGGTGCCCTCTTCTGCCGTGCAGGTGCACATGCAGACAGAACATTGTATAAGGATAAATAATAAATAAATAAATACATATTTAAAAAAAAAAAAAAAGCTGGAGAGTTAGCTCAGCAGCTACTGAGCACCACTGAAGCTCTTGCTTGAGGATCCAGATTTAGTTCCCAAGACCCACAAAGGAGCTGTCACTCCAGTTCCAGAGGATCCAATGCCCTCTTCTGGCCTCCATGGGTGCTACACACATGATACACAGGCAAAGCACCCATACATATACATAAGGGACAGGGCAAGCTAGGTGGCTCAAATGCCAAACCTCAGATTCCAACAGGGTGGAAGGTTAAGATCAACACCAAGGTTGTCCCCTGGCTTCTTTACCTGCTCCATAGACCTCACAGATATGCAAATTTTGTAAAACGAAAGAGACCATGCATGGTGCTGCACCCCTTTAATCCTGCACTTAGGAGATAGAATTCTGGACCAGTCTAGACTACATAGTGAGTTTCAGGCCAGCAAGGGCTACATAGTGAGACCCTGTTGAAAAAAAAAAGAGAGAGAGAGAGAAAGAGAAGAGAGAATAAAAGAATTAGTGTTTACCCTACTGTCATCATCCTCATGGCTCTGGTTAGACGTCCTTTCTGCGGACCTGGTGCATGCTCTGTACTGCAGTACAAAGTGACTATTATGCTGTGCTTCCTCACAGATTGCAGGCCCTCCATTGGTTACTGCAACAACCACAGCAGTTTCTTCAGTCCTGCTGTCCCCCAGTGTGTTCCAGCAAACAGGTCCCAGGTCCACAGACCTAGAGAGGAAAGCAAGCTCCCCCTCTCCCCTCACTGTTGGAACACCGGAGAATCAGAAAAAGCCTTCCATTATTCTCAGCAAGTCTCAGCTCCAGGACACACTGATACATCTAATAAAGGTATGTAGGCTATCAGCTTAGTCTTCAACTTTGTATCCTAATTTTTTAAAGGGCCTAATTATTGGTGCAGATTCAGAAACCTGCCTGGGAGCAACTTTTCTCTTGCAGGTATAGCCTCCTGGTGGATTGTGGCTGTAAACGCTGCCTGTCACTGTGACAGTCTTTATGGGGAGGTTATTTGGGGAACTTTTTACACCAATCACTTCTGTGCTGTTACCAAGGCAGTAAGTTGAGGATGTGACTGACTGTGCGTTCCCACCTTTCCATGTCTTCCAGAACGACTCCAGCTTCCTCAGTACGCTTCACGAAGTTTACTTGCAGGTTCTGACCAAGAACAAAGACAACCACAACCTATGACTGGAGTGAAGTCCACGTGAAGGTAGAGAGAGTGTCCACCTCAGAAACAAGCGGGCTTCATCATGGACCATCTGGTAGCACATGGAGCTTTGAGAAGCCTGGGTTTGAGCCTGAGAGAGCCTTGTTCCTTAAGGATGTTTTCTAGAGACATTGTCAGTGATGATGGAGGTTTCACTGTGAAGCATCACCAGCAGACTTTGTTTGACAAAAACAACAAAAACGACCATTGTGTTGAGTTATGTGGGTGTTTTCATCAGCTGTTGGCAAGTGTGTGGAATGAGGAGCCTGATTGTCAGCTTGCTTTCCAGGCCTGGGGAGGAGCCACCAGCCTTGCAGCAGAGCTCAGTGGAGCCCACGCCCTCCCTCCTCTTCTGCCCCTAGAAGCTCTGAACTGAATGTCCGCTCCACAGAGTAGCTTCAAGTTTTAAGGATCAGAATTTTAAGTTGATTCTTTGGAAGGTATTTGTTCAAGTGAAGTATATTTTCTATGAGCACCCCGCTTGGGCCTTAAAACTTCTGGGATTTCTTTGTGTTTCAGTAAGTGTCCCTGGTCCTGCCATGTGCAAACTCCAGTGAAGCACGGCTGTTTGGATAGGGCCTGACTGGGCTCCGGGGGAGGAGGCTTCACCCCTTTGAAGCAGAGGCTGGGGCCACACAGATCCAGATCCGACCAGAAGGCTCCACTTTGGTGAACCTCAGTGGCCTAAGTGTCAAGTTTGTGTGTGAAGCACAGCCTTATTTCCTTTTCTGTCTAAACACAGTTCAAGTTCTTGTTGATTGTTTTCCTTAACACTTTGGCAAAAGGACCAGTGGACCAATCTGACAAAGCCATTCTGGTTCCATTCCTCAGATGTGCTGAGAGCAGTTTTAAAGCTATGCAGAAAAGGGAGCTGTACTCACACTGCCCTTCCTTGTAGAGTATGGAGTCAAGCAGGTGGGAGCCGCAGAACCTCACAGTATACTCCTAGGCTGCGAGCTCATCCAGCTGCGGTGTGGAACTGTGTCGATGCTTTGTGATGCTGCTATTGATCTGCCATGGCTTCTATTTATTCTTTTATGGCATGTAATGGTGTTTAGTAATATTTTAATGTAGAACTTGATTATTTCAGCAATAGTAATTTTGAGATATTCTTTGACTGAAAAGTGTCTTCGTTTCTATGATACAGGTCATTTTGTAGTATTTAACCAACTAAGATGCACTGCTTCCTTTCTGAGCACTATTTAACGGTGGGTAAAAACCCAGTTGGCTCAACCAGCTCGCGGAAGGATTCGCTGTGAATAATGCTGGCCAATGCAACAGTTCACTGAACAGTTGCTTAAGCTTTAACAGGAACCCAATCAAAGGCTCATCGATTTCTTTCTAGCTGAAATTTTAGAAAATTACTTATTAATTACTTATTTTACTTTGGTCTTAGTTTTTTAGCCTAAAGAATACTTGGATTGGCGCGAGCTGATCTCAACATGCTTCCTGGACAATATTTCTGCTTCTCCATTGACTGTCTTCTCTGGTTGTCTACCCAGTTATGTGTGAAGTGTGCAGAATTCAGGGAAGCTCAGACTTTTTCATACTCGATTAGGGATAGTTTCATGATAGTGTGTAAGTTTAGCAACCAAAAATTAATTGTCCATGCGTCATCTAAGAAAGATAAAGTTGTAGTGAGATGATGGCTGTTGCTGACAGCAAGAGGTGGTGGTCAAGGAGCCCCAGGGCTGTTCTCATAAAGTGAATACACCTGTAGGTTTGATCACTCCCTGGTGTGGTCTCGGTAGACATCAGTAAACAGATAATTCAAAGCATTCTTCTTCCAGTGGGTGTTTGAATTTCACTCATGCTTTTGAGTGTGTGTAATATTAAGAGATGGTGAAGAATGGGTACCCTAACAAGCATCTGCAATCAGATCTGTTACTTTTTCACCCTTGAATCCCAGGAGTGACCATGAAAAACAGAAGGAAGGCTTCCTTGGTGTAGATAGGAACTTCTAAGTGCCGAAGTGATGGAGACTTGAAAAGGGTAAACCTGTTTCAACTCCCAAATTTATATACTCCAAGCATTTCCTTGAAACTCAGAAGTCAGAAGTTCCAGATCATGACTGCTAGGGAGCCAGGACAGAGTGAGTCCCCAGAGAGCCGGGCCAAGCTGAATAGTTGCAGTTGGGTGAGCCTGGCCTACAAGTGAGCTCTGTTGCCTTACTCCTCATCTGGGCACACTATCCAGAACCTCTGCCAGCTAGCGTAGCTTGCATGTTTACAGTGTCTTTGCAGGAACCTTAGTTGAACTGAAAAGGACATTGGAGAAGCTTCTTCCTTGGTTGGCAGAGCCCAGAAGACCACATTTTTAGGCCACTCTGTCTGTCCATCTGTGTACACACCCAACCCTGTCACCCCGGGGCCAAAGGGCCTGGGAAGTGCTGCATGTTTGGGGTGTCACCAGTGAGAGACACTGCTGTTTTTTGTTGTAGTTAATGTTATGTCTTTGAATGGGTGCACACCCCAGGCTGACCCGCCCAGTCCCTCTCAGGCTGCCTTCTTCCCGGTTGTATACGTCTCCCGGGCCCTGCTTCAGTCCTGAATGTCAAGTGACCATCAGTACTCCTGGTATTCCCTGTGATCTCCATACGGTCTCTCCACAGCTATCTTGGACAGTGGCCTTTCATTCCAAACCCACATTAAGGCCTTGGTCCAGGCTTGACTTAGATACCAATGACCAGATTTTGCATGTGTGAGCATTGGTTCTGTGTGTGGCCTGAATCTTATGGGAATTATAAATGCCATTGAATTCACTAGTAAGTACTCTTTTTAAACCATGCAGCTTTATTGCTCTCTTCCCCCCCCAAAGAATGTCGGCTGAAATCATCTCATTTTGGTAGTAGAGGCCGTAACTGCCATTGTAATAGTAATAATGCAACATGAGACTGAAGGTGCCTAGTTGCTCATAGCAGAGCCAGCGTCCCCCTGTAACTCAGAGGGAAGAGAAGGGCCGGGAACTGAGGGCTCATGGCCCAAGTGCACTGTCCTTGCGGCACACCTACCATGGACCGTGTCTTTGTCCTTGCGCCTTTGGCTTTCTTCCCTTGTGTTCAGAGTGGATATATTCTGGAACCAGCAGTGCCCAGTTTTCAAGAACGCGCAATGCTGGGGTCTCGGCAGAGCACCGTGGAGCAGACTGTAAAGCCCGCTCACCAGAGCATCTCCGTGAGCTCCGGGGCCTCCAGGATCCTCCAGGGTTTTGGTTTGGGGTTGTTTTGTTTCGTTTTTGTTTTTTCTTCAAGTTTCAGCAGGAGAGACGTGCAATGTTTCACTCAGATTCAGATTTGACATTCTTTAAAACGCTGCAATGCAATATCGATCACTTTGAAGTGGGAAAAATGCAAAGTTGTGTTTCCTTTTTCTCCGTGAGTCCTTAAGAAACGTGTTGTTGGTGTGCGTGCTGTGAGTGGTCTTTCTCTTCCTGCTTTGGCCATGTGGCTCTCATGACTTCATTGTACCCGGTGCTCGGCTCTTCCGTGGAGACGAGAAGCCCTGCGCCACCGTGAAGCTTTTGTTCCATGAGCGCAATGCCACCTCATTAACCTTTTTAGTGGTGTGGATTTTATACCATCTGTGTATGTTTGCAAATATTAAGTTATTACATGTTTTAAAATGAGCATTTTTCATCCTAAATTTTATATGTTTGCAAATATATTTTTTTAATAAAATTTCAAAACCAAGTTTTAGCACCTACCAAAATTCTAATTGTGTTTTTATTTAATTTGTATAAATGGGAACTTTCAAATGAGTTGTGCCTGGAGAGAGCCCTGTACTGCTCAGGGAAATAAGGGCAGGGAACAGATCCAGGCACAAGAAAAACAGCCCACACACCTGTTTCATCTAAAGACAGGCACGCAAGTTGGGGACTGGGCTCTCTGCTTAAGAACTTGCTGCACGAGCTTGACGTGAGTGCAGACCCTCCACACATGTTTTCTGTGGGGTTTGTTGCTGTTGTCTCCAGGTGTGAGGGCATGCCTCTGTACCCCAGTGCTGGGAGGTCACGGGCTAGCCAATTTAGGATAAACAGCTCCAGGTTCATTGCGAGACCCCGTTTCAAAAAAATAAGATGGAAAAGTAATTTAGGAAGACATTGATATCAACCTCTGGCTTCCACCCATGGCCACAGGCATACCACAGCACACGGGCAAAGGTGTGTATGCAGGAAGAGGCTTAGCATGGCAGATAAATGCAGTCTAAGATCTAAGTTGGCTTCCTTTAACAATTAGAATCCTGCAACATTTCCTTTTTAAGTTCAGGTCAACCCAGGGCTTTGTGCAAGCTAAATAGGCCTAGCACTGGAGCCACTCTACAGGCATGACAGCACACACCAAAAACCAGGACCTCCAATAGTCCTTTGACCTCCACTCGTGTTGTACCCACATACACAAATTCATGGGGTTTTTGTTGTTTTGTTTTTTAAGCCAGGCATGGTGGTACACGCCTTTGATCCCAGCACTCAGGGAGGCAGAGGCAGGCAGATCTGAGTTTGAGGCCAGCTTGGTCTACAAAGTGAGTCCGGGACAGCCAAGGCTACAGAGAAACCTTATCTTGAAAAACCAAATGTGTGTGTGTGTGTGTGTGTGTGTGTGTGTGTGTGTGTGTGTGTTGTTTTGAAGTAGATGAGGTAGACAGCAATTACGACAAACATTTGATGTCAGTCTCTACCCTCACATGCAGGCACAGGATAACACATAAACACCCAGGTGGGAGTTTCAGCCACTGGTTTTATTAGAATTTTGTGAAAAATTAAAATCAGGGTATTCTGAATAAGAGCTGGAGCTTTCTCTAAAGCAAACAAGACGAGGTCAGGGACTTCTGGACCCTTTCTAAGATTGCATTCTCACTGTGATCTTGGTCCATGGATTCTGTGCTGCTGGAGTCTTGTATGAATAAGGAACGTGTGACTGGTCTAGAGCTGTCAGGATCCACTGGTCTAGAGCCAGCAAGGGGCGGGGCAGTCTTGTAGGTCAAGGGAAGGACACTGCAGATGAAGGCAGGGGCGCAGCAGCAAGAAGTCACAGGGACTAGGGAGGTCATAGGGTCTGCCCAAGTGTGAGGACCAGAGCCCACAGGGATGCCAGGTGGGGCTGGCTGCCCCTCCTGTGAGTATTTGGAAGGCAAAGATGGGCTGTATGGAGGGCTCTGTATGTAATGGAGAGACTTTGCCTCCGTGAGTAATACGAAAAGCATTGAGGAAGACTTCAGTCTTAAGCCTACACGCATGTGAATGCACACGTTCATGCACCCCACACCATAGGCAAAAAGCAAGACCCGGAGAAAGCCATGCATCTGAGGTCTCCATGTTTCCAACAATGCAATTTAGTTCATGTAGACATGAGTCCTTAACAGGCTTCCAAACTTCTGAGATCCACACATGGCGCCTGCACTGTCCACACTTCTGGAATCAGCTCCCAGAGCCGCAAGAGCCTTCCACACCATACAGATCTCGGGTTCCCTGGCCACTTGAGCCAAAAAAAAGTAGAGACAGCTGCTGGCAGCTTTCTTACAACCAGTCTGGGGAGAACAATTTGGAAGGGGGTAATGCAAGGTTAGTGTGAATAGACCCATTATGTGCAATGATGTTTTTCTAAGGAGTTTGAACAATTTTGAAACAATTATAAGGAAAAACTTTAAAGTTGTTGCATGAGCCTTCTGGGTATGCATTTTCCTTCAACTCCTCCACCCCTGAGGGACAGTCACTCCAATACAGCCTGGGGAAAGGCCCCAGGGGAGGGCACGGATCAGTTCACCAATCTGAGAAGGGCTCCTGAGCTTGCGAAGGAGCAGCCAAGCAGCAGCTTCCTGGAGATCCGCCCACCTCTGTCTCCCAGAATGCTGAGATTAACACAAGCACCATTGCACCCAGCTCTTCATCTCCCTTTATTAAAAAAATACTAAATTCCCATTTAGTATTCCAACCTGGACTTCCTAGAGAATAAAACCTACAGCACCACATACAGTTTATTTTAATTTTGTTGTTGTTTTTTGTTTTTTTTTTTTTTTTCAAGACAGCATTTCTCTGTGTAGACTTGGCTGTTGTGGTGCTCACTTTGTGGACCAGGCTGGTCTCGAACTTAGAGATTCCCCTGACTCTGCCTCCCAGAGTGCTGGGATTACAGACGTGCACCACCGTGCTGGGCTTATTTTTTAATTTAGTAATAAGGTTATTTAAAGTAATGATAAAATGCTTTATATTAACTTCCATTGTCTGAGCAGTTGCACAAAACTTTTCCGTAGGTCCCGTGGTCTTCACTGTAGCAATTTCCCTCCCTGAAATGCTCACCACTCAGCATATGTCTCTCTGGGGCACAACACTTCAAGGCCAAGCAAGCACCAGATTGAGGGGTTCACTGTACCCCACCTTGCAAACGTTCAAACTGTTTGGGCTAGTTAACTTTTTACGTCACTCCACCTGGCATGGGCGAAGAGTATCGGCTGCTCTCTGTCGCCTGTCATGGCCGCGCACTGCTTGGCGGAAAGAGGTGGAGCGAGCATACAGGGGGTGGGGGAGAGACCCTTGGTCAGGGCTCCATGTATGTTGCTACCAGGAAGTCCGAATCCCGCGTGAGTAATCTCAGGTGCAGCCCATTGGGAGAGGAGCGCCCTGCAGCCCCGTAAGTAACTCCTACGCTCTGAGGAAGTCCAGTCAACTCACTGGTTCCCCAGAGTGAACTTTGTGGAATCACGCCTCAGTTTGTCGTTGGGGCCTTGAGAGGAGGGGTCGACATTGCTTTAAGTTCTCTCAGGGAAGGAGTTTTAGCAATGAGTCCCACCCCACCACAGCCCCAAGCCAGACTCTTGGCCTCTAATCACCGAAATTAACCTGGGTTCCTACTCAAAGGCAGAATGAAAAGCCCACGATGACATTATTCATTAATTCTCCTGGAGGACTTTGGAGTCCGTAATGCCGGGCAGCGTGCTGTGACTGCTGGGAACTCAGCACCTCTGGTCACCCGTCCTTTTCCAGGCTCTGTCTTGAAGGCGGTGGCTCAGCGGGCGAGCAGGTGCGAGAAGAGAGGGCCATGTGCACAGAAGGAACTTCCAAGTCTCTTCATCAGAAAGACTGGAATGGCGGCCGTGCTGTGTCTGACCTTTGCCCAAACCTCCACATTAGCCTGTCACACTCCACGAAGGAGCAGACCTGTGTTAGCACCTCACGCTTGTGGAGGAGTGTCATGAATACAGATGTAAGGCACTGTGTGCTGACAGAGTGAGCTTCCCTTGATAGCTCATCTCACAGATGAGAGACCCAGCTAGGCCACAACAGGAGCTCCACTCTTCCTTTGGAAGCAAGACGGGGAGAGGCCCTCTAGGTCTCTAGAATTGTATTTTTTAATGACAACAGCACCACTTCCCAACGAGTCAAATGGACAGGTTTAAAGCATTGCTTCCCTGCCTGTCATTTAGAGATGAAGAGATGGCTGAGCTAAAGGGGCATACTGAGCTAGCCAAGAATGAAATGACAGGTCCTAGGACAAGTGACTTGAGTCACAGAACTGTGTCCACATAATAATTGCAGAACTGTCTGCCAGAGTGCGGAGGGTGTGTCCATTGATAGAGGGTTTGCCTAGCATGCAGGAAGCCCTGGACTCAACCTCAGTGAAAAATAACTATTATTCATCTGATTTAATTGTCTCCAAAGCTTTCTGCCTCTGTCTGCTAACCTAGGCCTAGCCTTGAAGCTTCTAGCCTCCATACAATCTAATCTAGGCCTAGAATGTTTTCAGCCTCTGAGACTTAACGCTAAATAAGCTCACCCTTTCCTGTTTTTACTGAGCTCTGGCTGGCTGGTTCAGCTCAGCTGTTTCCGGTTCAAACTCCTCTCCAAGCTGACTGATTCAAACTGGCTTCTCTCAGCTTCTGCTTGACCTCAAACTAACTGTAGCAATCTATTCTAATCTTCTGGCTCCTTCTCATTCTCTAGCTCATTCTGTTCTTACCTGTGTCTAGTTTGTTCTCTCTCTACCACCTGTCTCTCTTTTACTGTCCTGTAAAACTGCCTCCTCTCCCCCATTCTCTGGTCTGCTCCCTTAAGCAGCTTCCCTTTCCTCTCCTCGTGACAGTTGGACATAACCTATTCTGTCAAATCTTTTTCACATTCATCCCTTTGTGTGCCACTCAATCAGACATCACTTTCAAACATGGATGCTTCCTTCTACAAATTAACTTTACCTTCATTGTTGGAGATTAAAGGCTTGTACCACCATGTCTGGACCTAAGCTTTTCTTTACTTGCAGCTTGCTCTATACACGGCTGACCTTGAACTTGGATCTGTTTGCCTCCATCTCCTGGATTAAAGGTGTTTGTATTCCACCCTGATCACACAGACCTAGAAGCTAGTTGGATATGATCTCTTGCCATAACAGCCATGTTCTGAATTAAAATTACTCTACATCTCAGCATTACATAAACCAGACAGATAAGAGGATCAGAAGTTCAAGGTTATCCTCAGTTGTATAGAGAGTTCAAGATCAGCCTGAGCTACATAAGTCTCTATCCCAAAGAAAAAGAAAAAAATAGAAACTGACCACTAGATCCAAGAGGCCAGGGTATTTTAAATGAAAATTGGAAGGAGGCATGTAGGGGGATTTTAATCCAGCAACATGGCTACTCTGGCTGTAATACAAACATGAGCTTAATACACATTTAATCCCTATGGCTGGAGTATGGACATGCTCTTAGTCC